TCAGATTCATTTTGCTGCATATGGATTTCCAGTTTTCCCAGCACCATTTGTTGAAGATGCTATCCTTCCTCCATTGCATGCTTTTAGCCCCTTTGTCAAAATTAAGATAGTTGTAATTTTGTGGATTGGTCTCTGTGTCCTCTATTCTGTACCATTGCTCCACCCGCCTGTTTTGGTACCAGTACCATGCTGTTTTTGTTACTATTGCTCTGTAACCTAGGGTAGTTATAAAAGTCCCATAATGATGGTTCTCAGTTAAACCCCTACCGACCGCACACAGGCAAGCATCTTGTTAAAGATGCAACAGAACTCAGTCCTGCTCTAGAAGTGCAGAGACCAACAAACCATGGACCCACTGATGAGGGAATGTGCCCTGTGAAACTCACACCCATGGAAGAAATTCACAGAAACATTAAAACTTCCTAAATAAAATTGTTAATTAAAAAAGATGTGGTTGATTAAGTACTTTTTAATATAATGAGAATTAAATTTCACTAGTAAATTAGAAAAACAATCTCTCCAGACTCAGGATCTTGTCATTCTGTAGTGCAGCTTAATTAGCATGTTTATTTCTAGGATTAGAAATCCATCTGCTCAGGTAATTACTATTGTGTTAATCCTACTCTTTATTTTTTCTCCCTGAGCACAAGAATAATCTGTGGTTTTCTTCTTTCCCTCATTAAAATGATTACCATTATCTACTTGATGGCACCTCTTGACACACAGTAATTAAAAATACAATGGGTGGAAATTTTAGCACAAAAAATTATACATTAACTATATCAACTAATAATCTACTTGCCCTACACTATATATAACTTTCTCAAAGGCTAAGAATCATGCCCACTTAACTTATTCCTTCAGTGTCCCATAAAGAGTCACAAGTTGGTAGAATCCTATCCAGGATTTTGATGCATATTTTTCAGGACTAGCATTTTTATATTTTTAAGAAAGATAATACTTTTATATTATGCATAACTTTTTCATAAACATACTTTAAAGCTATTATTCCCTTGTGCTATTTTAGGATTTAAATCCATTTACATTCTCCTTTAATAATGCTTTAAAGAATTACATTTAAAAGAATTTTGCTGACAACTATTCCAAAATATATATGAACACTGTTTACACATTTGCTATCTGAAGATTAGAATTATATCTAAAATGTTATGGATTTTATTCAACCAATTTACCTTAATAACTGAACTAATAAGTTCTAAAACTATTTAGAATCACTAAAGCTACAGAAATTATTCTATAAAAGTGAGAACTTATATACTATGAGATAGAGAGTTTTGTTTATGGCAAACATCCCAAGGAAATATAAAACCACTTTAAAAGTTGTTGTTCTATAAACTTTAGAAAACTGAATTGAGAGAAAAATAAAAACATAGCGAAAGAATCCATTGATGTGGCTATGCTGAATATTATCAAAAAAAGGAAGGAAATACAGTTTGGTTCATGTAAAGATAACATCATTCTTTTACATAAAATTTCTACTGGAGAAAAAAGACCTCATAGAAGATGGTAAAAATTTTGAGAATATTGCACATTTTTTAATACAGAACAACATTAAATTTTTTATTCACTATTTCTTAATTTAGTTAGTTCAATTTTCTTTTATTCTTAATAAAATTTCTGGCTAGTTCATTAATGACAGGGCCCAATGCATTTAAAAAACAGTTCCCACCTAACATTCTTCTTTCTGCAAAGGAACA